CTCAGAAATTAACACGACCAAGTTTTTGTATAAGGAGCCATATAATTACAAATAAATCCACACCGGTATAATACAAAATACCGCCGTATTAAATTAATGTACAACTATGGCAAAGATAAATATATCGACGTCTTTCTCATATAGTTCTACGACGGTATCTTTAACTCTCACCACGTTGGGGTTTTTCATTTAACGACGTATTATAAAATTTAACGTCGTATTTATTCACTTTATACGTCATACCTTATATTTAAACTGTCGTCTTAATAAGAATTTTTTTTAACAATTTATTTCTTGAATTTTGTTATCCTACGTCGGTAGATCAACTTAATAACAAGAATTGAAATAACCACGACGGTTTATATAGAAAACCGCCGATATAATCAGATTTTTCTGAGATCCCAAGGGTTACGAAATCTTACCAGATGGAACTCTGTTCCTCATCATAATCTTACCAGAAAGACAATATTTTAGAGGTTAATGATGTATGTGTATTTGTGTCTTTGAGATACACAAACGCACATACACATTAACATCCAAAAAATTGCCTCTGAAATTTGACGACGGCAGCTTCAGATTTGCAATCAGAGAGACAATTTTTTGGAAGTTGATGATGTGTGTGCGTTTGTGTATCTACACAAACGCACACACACATCAACATCAAAACAATTGCCTCCTCAAATTTCATGACGGCAGCCACAGATTTGCAATCAGATAGACAATTTTTTGAAAATTGGTGATGTGTGTATGTTTGCGAATCAGATACACAAAACATATACACACACCAACATCCAAACAATTGCCTCCTAAGAGGTGAGGTGAGACAGAGAAAAGGGCAAGAAGAAGGTGAAACCCTAATTGAAAACTAAAACTGAAAGAACTCGTGGAAAAAAACTCTATTTATAAATAAAAAATCAAATCCACTTCGGTTAAATTACACCTAACGACGTTTAACAAAACGAATCCACGTCGCTAAACAAATATTTCGTGGTCTTATTAGTGAAAAAAGACGACGGTAGAACAAAAAACCGTCATTGTTTTTATATTCGTATTTGATTTAAATCAGTCTCCCAAACAAGAAACTTTACAAAATCTAGAACATTAATTTCCGTCATTTTAAATTTCCTCGGGAAAAAAAACTCTATTTATAACGCACTGTAATTGAAAACTAAAACTGAAAGAACTTGGGAAAAAAAACTCTATTTATAATTAAAAAATAAAATCCACGTAAATTATATTACACTTAACGATGTTTAACAAAAATAAACTACGTCGGTAATTATAAACTTACCGCCATCTTACTTTAATATACTACGACAACAAAAAGGACGACGGTAGAACAAAAAACCGTTGTTATTTCAATTTTAATAGTTTGGTATGTTCTCTTTCTGCAGGACTTGGATAGTTCAAAGCATTGAAAATGTCTTTACAAATTTGATTGCTCAGGCTTTAGAGGCCATCTGAAGCCATTTCTATTCTTTATCGCATTCCTGAAAACCCATCTTCTTCTTCTGAAGCTCTACAGATAAAGGAACAGGCTATCACAAATCTGACGGATCTTCTTAGCCAAGAAAATCGAGCAGAAGATCAGGCACATCTGATCTTCAGATTTCCCTTTGCAAAGAAATGGCGCAGTGGACCCGTGCTGAGAAGCGAACTTTCCTTCGACAGCGAGTGGAGGCCAGGCTTGCATCTCTTTTGATGGAAAGCAAGGAGTATTCAAAAGCACTAAGTCTCCTATCAGGCCTGATCACGGAAGTGAGAAGTCTAGATGACAAGCTTCTTCTTGTGGACATAGATTTGTTGGAGAGTAAGCTCCATTTCTCTTTGAGAAAGACATCCAAATTATTGTCTTTGAGAGGTGAGAGAGTGTGTCTGTGAGAGAGGAAGAACTTGGAACCCTAAATGAAAACTGAAACTGAAAGAAAGCGGCAAATTTATACAATAAATTTTTAAAACCCACGGGGTCATTACACACAAACCACCGTTTAATTTTAAAATCAACGTCGGTTATTATTTAATATACGTCATATATTATAAAAATCCACGTTGGTATATTAAAAAAACGACGTGTTAAATCCTTGTACCATGACGCGAGATATTAATTTATCGACTTTTATTTTGGAGTTTACTATGACGGTACCTACAACACTACTGTCGTATTTATTTACCACGTCCTAAGTTCAAATTATCGTCGTAGTTTTTTATTTATACGTCGTCGTTCTCTGTAAACCGCCGTCTTATTTTTATGAAACGGTTTGTGTATATATTCAACTTTTCGTCTACCTGACTTACACATACATTGTTTCCAAACCCGATAAAAAATTTCAATCTCCGAGAGAAAACTTTTCGTCTTTTTTCCTTGTCAGAGAACTGTCAGTGTATCTCATCGTCTTCTCTCGTCTTCGTCGTCTTCTTTGAACTTAAACACCAAACTCCGAGAGGAAGCTTTCATTGCATGCAAAAGGTAAGCTTTCATTTCTCACTATTTTTGTTGCTGTTTTGCATGCTCATACGGTTTTTGTTTTGAAAATCCTTTTACCTTTTTTATGGCCAAAATCATTTTAATTCTTTCCAAGTTTGATAAAATATGTAGACAAAGAGGGAAAGTTTCCAACTTTGAACACAACTACTTCAACTAAATAAGACAACGGTAGCTTCTTATTTACGTGGTTAAATATGTAGACCACGACGGTTCGTCAGTCGTCCTAGCGTCGTATGAAAATTGATCTAAGTTGTTTTTAAAATGACCGTCGTTTTTTTATTTGCTTGTTTGATTGCAGGTTTGATTTCTCTGAACCATGGTTTTTGTTTTTCCTAATTTGATAAAATACAAAGAAAAAGAAAGTAGGGTTTGGGATCTTATATAGACGACAGTATCTTATTATTCACGTCGTGTGAATGTTAATACCACGATGTTATACTAAGATACCGTCGTCTATATAAGATTCCAAAACCTTCTTTCTTTGTCTTTGTATTTTATCAAATTAGGAAAAACAAAAACCATGGTTCAGAGAAATCAAACCTGCAATCAAACATTCACAGACAAAGAAAGAAGGGTTTGGAATCTTATATAGACAACGGTATCTTATTATTAACGTCGTGTTAATTTTAATACCACGACGGTATATTAATATTAATGTCATTTGAATTTAAATATCACGACGGAGTGTAAATATCGCCGTAATAACTTCTTATTACGTCTTCTTTTATATTGTTTCGTCGTTGTTTAAGTACCATCGTTTTAAACATTTATTACGTCTGATGTTATGTTATTGCGTCGTGTAAAATCTTATCATACGTCGTGTTTTATGAATAACCGTCGTTTGTGTTCTTAATTTTTTCTTGAAATATTTTCACTTGCAGGTTTGATTTGTCTGTAACCATGGTTTCTCAAGACCAAAGTAAGGACTCTGGCTCGAAAAAAAATGGAGGTAAGGAGCTTGGAATGGTAACTCCTCAAGACAAGTTCTTGAAGAAGATGAAGTTTGTTTCATCTGCTGAGACAGAACCAGCCAGCACGACAACAATTTCTGAGGATTCAAAGTCAGGTCGAGGTATGAGCACAATGCCTCGTGTTGTGAAGAGAAAATTTCAGAAAATCAAGCCAGTTGTTGAGTACAATAAAAGGGGGAAAGGATGTGGCCCTGCACATACTGAGATGCAGTCTTACATTGGTGTGTTGGCACGCTCCAGAGTCCCACTTGTGGACAAGAAATGGGCTGAAATCCCCAAGGATATAAAGGAGCAGATTTGGGAAGCCGTTGACATGGCTTTTGTGGTAGGTCAAGGGGGCAAGAACCTGGTGTTATCTTCTGCTGCCAAGAAATGGAAGGATTTCAAGTCTACACTAACGAGGCATTATATCCTTCCATACATCAAGGAGAGGGAGAAATTAAGCCAACCCCCTGAACTATATAAATTCATAGAGAAAACAGAATGGGATGCCTTTGTGGCTTCAAGGTTATCCCAAGAATTTGTGTCTGTGCATTCTCAACATTCAAAGATTAGGGAGAAACTTGAGTACAATCATCGATTGTCTCGAAAAGGATATGCTGGTTTGGAGGATCAATTGGAGGAAACCATGCCTGGGGTAGAAATTGATCGATCTACCTTATGGAAGAAAGCTAGGCAAGACAAAGATGGTAACATCCCTGATCCAAAGGTGGCAGACACTACAAGAAAACAGGCCTTCTGTGAAGACGAGTAGTCGTCACTTAAACATGTGAATTCGTCACAGTTGATAATATGGGACGCATTTTCGGCGTCACAAGGTTCGTCACCTATACCCCGTCGCAGATTGTTTGACGTGACGAATTTACGATTCGTCACATACGGGTTCTATATGTGACGAATGTTTTGTCACATATAGTACCTTTGCACAAGGCATCTTTCGTCACTTATTGTATCTATCGGTGACAAGCCGCATTGGTCACATTTCACAAGCGTCAGTGGGGAGTTGTTCCTCACATATTTATGAAAATTGTGGGGAGTTGTTCCTCATATTTATGAAAATTGTGACAGTGTACGTCTCACATATAATCTGACTAGCATTCAATTCAATTAAATTCAACTCGATTACTACCATTCCCCATTATATTCTTTTCTTGTATAATATAGCAAAATAATACATTCAAGATCCCCAAAGTTTCACAAGGAAATTGAACTCAAATTTCATTCCATTACACCAAAATAATTATGTTGTTTGATATACAATAGTCTCAACTACATGTTTTTTTTCTTCTCATAACTACAATGTAATTTTTCTACAACTAGAAGTAATGTTGTCCCAAGATGAAAAAGAGTTGAATCAAATTGCAAACGATCCTCAATGACAACCAAAAGAATGGATCTTTTTAGTTCAACTGTCATAAAAAGGAAAAATGGTCATAAAAATGGATATAGAAGATATAAAAGGGCAAATTACCATTGGGGAAAAACATCAAGTTGTTTAACAGAGAGATAAAAGGCCAAATTACCATTGGGGAAGAACATCTTATTTATGGCTGGGAAGCTACACACTGCCAAAAAATATAAAACATAATACAACATTGTTAACATTAAGTGAGAAGACAAACATAATTAATGTTTGATGTCCAAGAAGTGAACATGGTGAGGAAAATAAAAGGATGAAAAACAGAATCCATCAAAGGATTAAATGTCAAAAAGCATGAAAAAATAAAAATCACTCCTAAAAATGAAGGTGTACATACAAAGCATAAAATGCTACAAAAGAATCTTTCCTGTGGTAATATAGGCAGAAAATATGGCCTCCATATAACAAAAAGATGTATCACCTCTTTGTATGAAGAGGATCTTTCTTCCTTCCCACTTCTTTGTATTCTCAGCCATGTCTTTCAACATTCCATAAGCAGCTTTGCCACTAAAAAAGGAATGACATCATAAATCAGTGATCCCATTATTCGGCAGAAGAGAAAAGCCACAGAGAGAGAGAGAGAGAGAGAGAGAGAGAGAGATGCAGTTCATACTTCAGAATTAACTATGAATAATTTAACCATTTATCCTCCTCAAGGGAAGTGATGGCACAAAGACGGAAACATAAACAAAGAGTTGTGGAAATAAAACAGAACCTGTAAACTGGATCCAGAACAATCCCAGTGGTCGCAGCAATCTCCGTGACAAACTTAAGCTCCTGAGACGTGTTTATTGCATAGCCCAGACCTTTGGCCTGTCAAACCACGATACATTTACTTCCTTTTTTGGTGTTTACAATATATAATTACTTACAATTGGTCAGCATATACATTGTGTGTAAAACTATATGCACATCATCTCATAATGGTAACATATGAATAGTTACAATTTACAACCCATGATTTTCCAATCTAGGATTTCATTTTTTTGTAGAGGATGCACATGTAAGACTTGTATAGTGTAGGCAAACTACTGTAAGATCAACCTTAAAAGAACATGTAGTACGAAGCAACATAAATCATGTGTTCAATGCTAACAATATAGTGTCTAATCTGCTTTGACCCTCACATTTTGAATGTTAACAATATCACGTGAATCAACACCTGCCTCAAGTCCATCAAGTAGGCCTTGAACATAGTCGTAGAAGTAATCAGGGTCATCATAGACAGAAAAGGCATGGACCTGCAGAGCAAAAGGAACAAACAATTACATGACATGTCAAGAGCAGCAAATTAATTATCTACAGAAAGGAATCCAATGACATGCGTTTGCCTTCAACGAACTCAGCCAAGAGCTCAATGCCAAACCAACAATTGTACCCCCACTGGAAATCGATTACATAAAAACATTACAGATGGAAGTAATAATAATAATCACGATCACCATAAACTTATTCTATTATGTCACAGTATTATACTTTTTGTAAACAAGTAAGATATAATCCATCTTTCATTTGTAGGAAAGTTTGGTTTCGTGAAAAAAATTGCTAATACTCCAAGAGAGAGAGAGAGAGAGAGGTAAACTAACTTAAGCTCTAAATTCTTAATCAATATTCAGACATAGAAATCCAAAAAATAAAATAATAGTGAAGTCCAAAACTTCTCACAACAAAAGGAAAGTGAGAGCTGTCAAATACGAAAACAAGGCTGAGTAGACAAAAAACAAATGGTTTCGATTCAAGGATCCTACTGTCTCGTATCAAAACTGACTAGAAATTGACAATTCCATATCTCAAGATCCATACATAAAGGACATGAAAAAATTTGTAACATATGGCAGGCATGCAGGACTTGTTATTATCAACTCAAAATAAGATGGCATAAAAAAGCACCTGCCACAAGCAACAACAATATCATCAAACTTTACTTTGTCGATCCCACTCTGAAACTGCTCCTCAATCTCTCGAATTGCTTCAATATACCCCCTGAATATAATTTTTTTCTTTTTTTTTACACAAATGTGATAATATCAACAAAAAAAGAAATGGAAGCCGTCATAATCAACTTTGAACAGGAAACTGAAACATCACAACCCTCACCCCTCCCTTCTCCCTTCTCATTTTGAAGACCCCAACCATTAGGTTTATACCATATGACACGAGTTATGATGGATTAAAGTGAAGAATAGGTACCAGATACCATATTTCCAATACAGATTAGAGCTTTAAAAGGTCAAGAAAACTAGAAAACTTCGGGTTGGAAAATAGGAAATACTTCTCATTTCCACTATGAAGCAAAGAAATTGCATCAAATTCTAGGAACCCAAAATGAATACTTAAAAAATATATGGCAGATAGAAAGGAGATAAAGGGAAAAATACAGCAGTTAAAGTGTACAGAAACAAATTATTATTAAATAGACAGTTTATGCACATTTCAATAGAAAGGCAAACCCAATCTCACCAAGTTCCTAGGGAGTTTGATCCACCCACAGGAATAACATATGGCCTTCTTCCTTCTTTTAGCCCTTCCAAATTGAATTTCTTGGCATTCTGCTACTTCTCTCCTTTAAAGTACCTCTCTTCTGTATTATTCTATGATCTTCTCACCGGTGGAGAAAAGATTCCAGACAACAGTTCCAAACAGATAAAGGCCTACTGAGACCTTGAATACGTCATCCCAAGAACCTGAGAAATTTCAATGTGGAAAGAGAGGAATATCAGAATCAGCTTGTTTGCTTAAACATTACAGCTTGATGTGATACCCACAAGGCCCCTTTGGAACAATATGGTTGTTAGCAAATTTTGGAGCAAACATCATGGAGGCTTCACCATTGACTGTTCCCATTTGTTCCTTAAAGGTATCAGGAAAACATCCAACTCTTGACTCAAAATCCCTTCCTAAACAGTTTATGCTGGCTGCACAACTGCAGCTTCCCCGAAAATAACCATAGGGAACTTTGTGACAGCACCTTTCATGCTCACTAGGCTCAATGATGTTCTTCCCACTTCTACTGTCACAAACAATAAAGGAAGATAACTGTTAGAGAGAGCAAATATCGCACTGACTTGTTTAAGGAAAAATATATTGTACATGCACAATAAGATAAAAGCAGGTGAGTAAACCAAATTGCCTAAGAGAGCACATCTGAATTGCAAAATATAAGACACTCAGGACTATCGCTGAGCTTATAACAGCTAACTTGCCAAGTATTTGCTAACATGATTCAACATCTTCAAGAGCACCCATTCACAGGCAGTTTACAAATGTAAATCCATTCACAGATAAAAGTGCGTTCGGGCTTACAATACCCTTCTAACAATCAAATCAATACCTTCAAAATTTCAACAAATTTTTTCACAACAAACTGCATGAGATCTGTACAAGTTCACCTCATTTAACAATCTTTAAGAACTTTCAAATTTTGCAACTTTTACTTGATGTCAACAAATTCCACCAACACATTTCAGTGTCAAGATACCATAAAGCAGAACCAGTGAAATCATCCCAGTCAAAACAATAAGTACAACTCCAATAAAATGTGATACAGCACAAAATGTTAAAACTCTACAACCAATTTGCCATTCTAGATTCTAAAATAACCTCAGTGACGGCAGCTAGCTAGCTAGGACAATTTGAGTCAAAAGTTTCTACAAGCAGCTACAAGTTTTTGGCTAGTCAACAGAATTTATATTCTAATGAGTGCTATGCTCTGATGTTTATGTATACAAATAAAATGTGATTGTCCAATGTAAGGCAATGCATGAAAATAGTGTCACAAATGTAAACCAGGTTAATTCAATTTTTATGCTACAGAAGAATAAAAGTGGATTCAAACTTCAGTTAGTTCACCATATAGTTCAGTAATTGGCTTACTAGCAACTAAGAATTGCAGTAGATGGGCACTAACCATGTTGCAAGATGTAGCCAGTCGATACCGTTCCAAAGACGCCGGCGAGCACTCCTGCAGTATTGGACAGACCAAGCAAGACACCCTGAGAAACAATTTGAACAAGAAAATTAGACCCATCTGTTCAGCATCTAGAATTCCTCTACAATCAGAAAGCATGCATTGGCACGTGATTGATGGGCTTATGTACTTGGAACTCAGTAAGATGTCTAATTACACAGAAGAAATTTCCATATATGCAAGCCAAATCAGAAACTAAAGCCAATACTCACAGAATATCGTGGAGCAATATCTTGATGGTTTGAATATAGACCAGATTGTGAGAATGCATCAATTCCCTATTTAAGCAAGAGAAACAAAAACCAGTTAGCTAAAAGATAGAAAATAATAAAATGAACAAAAGAACTGTTAAGCAATTGTATAAAGCTTCCAAAAGAAGGAAGAGGAACATATATTTATTTTTCTCATTCCATGTACTGCAAGAATCATACCTGACTGCATGCCATACATAGAACAGCCATTGCAGGAGAATTAATATGGCTCAACTGAGTGAGGAAGAAAGCAGGTCCAAGAAACCCCCTTCCTTTTAGTCTCAACACATTAGCTCCAGCTTCAACAAAACTCAGTAGCAATTCATGTATGACCTCCTGAAAGGGGGAAAAAAACGATTCAGCTCTTTCCCAAGACCCCAAAGCAAAACCCCAATTCACTTCTCTAACCCAGATACAAATTAACACAAACCCAAATACCCAATTCACCAAATTGCCTAAAGATTTCAAATTTATAGTAAGACAGAACCCATATCAGAAACTCAATTGAAAATCAAAATAAAATTTGAAAGGTTGTTTCAGCTAATACAAGAGAGAGAGAGAGAGAGAGAGAGAGAGAGGAAGACCAGTGGTCGTCGTCGCCGGAGAGGAGTGGTCGTCGTCGCCGGTGGTTTGTGGATGAGAACGCAGCTAGTGTAGATGAAGCGTTGGGTTTTGTTCTTGGGCTAGTGTAGAGCATTTGACTTACGTTGAATGAAGCGTTAGGTTTTGTTTTTGTTTTGTTTTTTTTTATAAATATTTTGGGCCATAAGTGCCGCTGCCAATCTTCCCTCAATAAAATTTTCAATCCTCACTTTCATGCTCTGTGACGAATGTGCATTATTCGTCACATTTAGTAAAAAATTGGGCGCCAAGATTTCCCGCTATGTAATTTGTGACGACACCGAAATTATAATGTGACGAAGATGGAGCGAAAATTTTGTTAGGTCCTTCCAAGACGTTTAGGTGACGACTTGCAAAATTTTCTCACTTATACAAGCCAAAGGTGACGAAATTTTCAGCGTCACATAAAATTTGGTCACAGAAGGCATGTTTTCTTGTAGTGAGAGAAAGCAAAATTAATTGTAAGCCTACTCACTATGTTTTAAATTTTTATTAAACTCTGTATTGCCGTGATAATTCTTATTACGCCTTATGTTATATTTACCGTTGTGTGAATGATATTACTACGTCGATATGTTTTAAAAAACGTCGTTATAGGTCTGAATTTGGAATCGCTACTCTGTCTTTGTAATTATAGCATAAGACGTCAGTGTTTTATTTATTGCGTCGTTTGAATATATTACTACGTCGAGATGTTTTAAAAACGTCGTTATAGGTCTGAATTTGGAATCGCTACTCTATTTTTTGTAATTATAGCATAAGACGTCGGTGGTTTATTTATTGCGTCGTTTTAAACAAACTAACCACGTCGTTCTTTAAGTAACGTCGTTATAAATATATTATAACATCGATTTCTATGTTATTGCGTCGTGTGAAATTATATAATACGTCGTTTGTTTATAAATAACCGTCGTGTGTTTTCTTGTGCTGACTTTTTTATATGTCTTTGTTTTAGGATGAATTGCAAAAACAAGTCGCTGAAGGCAGTCTCAGTGTATCTGGCAGTAATGATGTGTTGACCTTGGCTTTGGGTCCCGAGCATCCAGGGAGAGTAAGAGGGGTAGGTGCTGGGATTTCCCCTAGGCAATACTTCAATTTACCTAGACAACAGAGGGTAAAGTTTGCCGATCAATTGAAGGAAAGTGTAAGAATTGTCCTTCAAGAAGAGACTAAGAAGATGGAAGCTAGATCAAGGGAAGAGACTTTAAGGATGGAGGCTAGAACCAAGCAATTGGTAGAGGCTGAGAGGGAACATTTACTGAGTCAGCTTTCCCAACTCATCCCCAATTTTGATCCAAGCATGCTTAAACCGAAAACTAGCCCCTGTCAAAACCAAGGTCTAGAGCAAAGTCCCAAAAAATCCAATGTCTGACAAAGCAAGCTGCTCTGGGGATGTGAGATCCCTACATTTTGAGGATGATACTGCCAAAAATGGGGAAAAGCAGGAAGAAATGGTAACATATCTGAACTTTGAATTCTCTGTTTTTTTAAAAAGCTATTAGACGTCGTTATTATGAAGCAAACCGTCGTTTGAAATACATACCACGACGATTTTATTAATAAACCGTCGTTTGGATTTCAATACCACGTCGTATTTAGTTTACTTGTTTTACACGCCATTAGACGTCGTTATTTTTGAAAACTTTTGTGGTGATTTAGACGACGGTTTTAGTCCTTACCGACGTAATATATAAATCCCCACGACGTTTATTATTTACCATCGTTTAATAATTTTAAGACGTCCATAATTTTTACATACCGTCTTATGTTATGCCTTACCACGACGTTTTGATTTAATTTTTTTACTTTTTGTACAATCTGTCTTATATATATATATATATATTTCTTTTTACTTAAAACAGAAATTTTGGGGATTTAGAAAATCAAGATGAAGAGAAGAAAGAATAAAAAAAATATGAAGAGAATAAAGAAGAAAAAAAGATGAAGAAAAAAAGATGAAGAGAAGAAAGAAGAAAAAGAAGATGAAGAGAAGAAAGAAAAAAAAGAAGATGAAGAAAAGCATTGTAGCATAAGACTCAAATTTGTGGTTTGTCCTTATCAGTATATATGAGGTTTGTCCTTATCAAATATTTATTTCACACTCAAATTTGTGTTGAAAAAAAAAATCATTATAGCATAAGACGTCGGTGGTTTATTTATTGCGTCGTTTGAAACTACTAACCACGTCGTTAGTTATGTACCGTCGTGATAAATTAATTATAACGTCGATTTCTATTTCATTTCGTCGTGTGAAATTGTATAATACGTCGTTTTGTTTATAAATAACCGTCGTGTGTTTTTTGTGCTGACTTTTTTATATATCTTTGTTTTATATATTTAGGTGCTTATATGATCATTTGAAAGAAGCAAATATGTTCAACATGGTTGGCTTTATCGACCCTGCTCAAGTTAGTGCCAACGCTGGGTCACTAACTGACAGATCACGATTGTAGCCAGTCGACTTCAGAAGACAGATGGTGAACAGATTTTCATGATGCCTTACAATCCAGGGTTAGTCTCCTTAACAGGATTTTGTTTGTATGATGCACTGCGTATAAAACTGTTTAACTAATTTTGTGCCGTTTGAAACATCTAACCACGTCGGTTCTTTATTTATTGAGTCGTTTGAAATGACTAACCACATCGTTAGTTAATTACCGTCGTGATAAATTTATAATGACGTCGATTGCTACGTTATTTCGTTGTGTGAAACTATATAATACGTCGTTTTTATAAATAACCGTCGTTTGTTTTTTGTGCTGACTTTTTTATATATCTTTGTTTATATTAATTTTGTGCAGCCGTCATTGGGTCTTGCTGATTGTGAGAGCAAAGAGGGAACCGTCTATTTTCTGGATCCTCTGCCCGGAAATTGTGTGGTTGATGAGGAGGCCAAAACATGGTGAACAGTGCTATAAAAATTTATAATTCCCACATAGGCAGACCAGGCCGTAAAGCACCAATTTGGAAAACTCTGCCAGGCACACCAAAGCAACCCAGCAATGTCGAATGCAGGTATTATGTCATGCGCTTCATGAGAGACATCATCATGGATCCTTCCTTGGAGTTTGAGAAGACGGGTAAGAAGAAAATTTTCAGATACATTTTATGTGGTTTTTTGTATTATCAACGACGGTCCTTTAAAATTACCGTCGTTGAATCGATATACTATGTCGGTTATGAAAATAGCGTCGTATGTGATTGAATTTCTTTTTATTTTGTAAAGCTTAATAATCATTGTTTATGGATTGCAGTTTGCCAAGGGAAAAGGGCAAGCGCCATACCCCCAAGCAGCCATTGATGAAGTCAGAAATGAATGGGCAGAGTTTGTTTGCCTTCATGTGGACTAGAGGATTTTTAGAACACTTGATATTTTTATATGTACAAATTTTGTCTATAATATAATGCACAAATTTTGTCTATATATAATGTACAAATTTTGTCTATAATAATGTACAAATTTTGTCATCCGTTTTTTCCCTGAAAATTTGTTGAGGTTTTCTTAATTAAAAAAAAACAAATTGCGTAACCGACGTGTAATAGTTTGAAACAAAATCGACGTAAAAGGATATTTAGACGACAGGTATGACGTGGTAATTAAATCACACGGCGACACCTTTTTTGTTTAAGTCGTGATATAACGTTTGTACGTCTATAGGACGTCGTTTTAGTGAAAATTTCGCCATGGTTTCGCTTTTAAACGACGTCCCTTTCAACAAGTAAGTCGTTTATTATATTTACAACGTCGTTACTTTCTTAAAGTGGACGTGGTTTGTTGTGTTTGTGGGAATATTTTATTCTATTTCATTCAAAATATTCAAAATAAATATAAAATAGATCAAAAAATGCAACGTCAACTCCTATGAAGTCATTGATATATTTTCTTCCCCCTAAACCTTAAAAAAATTCAGTTTGAGTAATACAAATTTAAAATGACCACCCAAAATAAATTGTTTTGATGAGTCATAACATCACTTATAGTTTGATGATTTAGGGTTTAGGGTTTAGGGTTGTTATTTATTAGGGTTTAGGATTAAAGTATAATTTTTGGGGTTTACGGTTTATGTTTGTTATATATTAGGCTGTAAAACCATAAACCCTTTTATAAAATTATATTTTAAAATATTAATTTAGGGTTTATGGTTTAGGGTATTACTTTTAACGACGGTGATTGAGTCGTGGAATATTGAGTTTACGTCGGATGGTGAAACATCCGCCATGGTTTCTCTTTTAAACGACGTCCTTTTTACAAGTGAGTCGTTTATTATGATTTACAACGTCTTTAATTTATTAACCCCGACGTGGTTTGTAGTTGATATAAGAATATTTTATTATTTTTAATTCAAAATATTCAAAATAAATATAAAATAAATTCAAAAAATGAAACGTCAAATCCTATGAAGTCATTGATATATTTTCTTCCCCCTAAACCTTAAAAAAATTCAGTTTGAGTAATACAAATTTAAAATGACCACCCAAAAATAAATTGTTTTTTTTTTTTTTTTTTTTTTTTTTTTTTTTTTTTTTTTTTTTTTTTTTTTTTTTTTTTTTTTTTTTTTTTTTTTTTTTTTTTTTTTTTTTTTTTTTTTTTTTTTTTTTTTTTTTTTTTTTTTTTTTTTTTTTTTTTTTTTTTTTTTTTTTTTTTTTTTTTTTTTTTTTTTTTTTTTTTTTTTTTTTTTTTTTTTTTTTTTTTTTTTTTTTTTTTTTTTTTTTTTTTTTTTTTTTTTTTTTTTTTTTTTTTTTTTTTTTTTTTTTTTTTTTTTTTTTTTTTTTTTTTTTTTTTTTTTTTTTTTTTTTTTTTTTTTTTTTTTTTTTTTTTTTTTTTTTTTTTTTTTTTTTTTTTTTTTTTTTTTTTTTTTTTTTTTTTTTTTTTTTTTTTTTTTTAAATTGACAATGGATGTTCACTTGGTGTTGTACTGTACAAAGAGTGCTGTAATTTTCTATGCATTGCTTGATTTTCATTCATTATGTGTACATCTACATAGGAAGCCCTGTTTATTACCTCCTCTCTCATGCTTACTATCCTAGGATTGTCTACCCTTCATGTATGTGAGTTTTTAAATTTTCATCATTATATATGTTATTAAACATTAGAGATTATTTAAGGCATCATCTATTATCTGAATTCTGCTTAGTCTTAGTTCCATGTGCATTAATTAACTCTTAATTCATACATTTACATTTTAGCAACTTGATGTGATTACTGTGGCTCATACCAAAAAGGCAATCTTAGGCTCATCAAGGAAAGTCGAGCTTCCAAGTGACTTACTGGATATTAGATCATTTGGTTTATTTCCCTAACATTTTTTAGTGCTAAATATTTATTTGTATTGGATGTGAGTTTTTTTTGCTGAAAAGAAACCCATTGTGATTTGAGTTTTTTTTTTTGTTGACAGACAAGACAATATGATTAATTTCTATATTTTTTTTTTTTTTTTTTTTTTTTTTTTTTTTTTTTTTTTCATATTGTTGATGTTGAAATTTTTGTTGAAATTTTATTTGAAAAGCATTAGGTAGAATTTCTTAATTGTAATGATATTATGAGCTCTGACATTGAGTTCATCTTCATCAGAATTGTTGTATTATATTGAAGTTTGATATAATATTTAGGAGTGTAATTACCAAATTGTAAGGGGTTTTTTGCAGTTGGTGTAGCATACAATTGGCAACCTTTTTGCATTTTCAGAATGCAATTACCAACTGACTAGTTTGTTATTGCAATTAGAGTATGCGACATTATATTTGTTGCCTTGCATTTTTGTAATGAAAATGCAATAGGTACTTCGGTATGTCATTTTTGAATCCAATTAGAAATTGGTTAGTCCGTTTTTACAATTAGTGTATGCATATTGTCATGTTGTTGGTAGCCTTTTCAATTTACATATCGTTAGAATGTAAATACAATATGTGATTTGTCAATGCAATTGACAAACAGGTAATGTCATTTGCATTCCAGTCATGCTATTGATAAACAAAGCAGTCTCATTTGCCTTCCAATCGCGCAATTGCCATTATCTGTGCACAATTAATTGAAAATATAAATACAATATGTGATTTGTTAATGAAATTGACAAACAGGTAGTGTCATTTGCATTCCAGTCGTGCAATTGACAATCAAAGTAGTCCTATTTGCATTCCAGTCGTGCAATTGACAATCACAGTAGTCCCATGCTTTCATGTTTATTATGAAAATACAAAAGAAAATTGAACTATGCAATTGGACAAGTTTATTTTCCAAAATAAACATTTGAATTGATTAAGGGTAAAATAAATACAAGTTAATAGAAAGTATTAGGTCATACAGATCCACATAAATAAAGGTATGAAGCATTAGATTTTAACATATTAACTTTTATTGTTAAGCTCTTTTTTATTAAGTCCGATCTCATTTTTAAATGACGATGGGAAATTTGTCTCTTGTTTGGCAATTGCCATTGATATATATATATATATATATATATATATATAAAAGAGCATGTTTTACCATCAATTACCCTATTTGCTTTACTTTTGACTTTGTTTTCCACATGACTTCACTTCTCATTCCTAATGCTTTTGTAACACCAAAGTGAAGTTTTTTTTTTTTTTTTTGGAAAAATGTGATTTTTGGCCTTTGTAAATATGTTGTAGACATGTATTTAAAATATATTAAAATAAATTTATAAAGGAAAGGTGGGATATCAGATAAGTAAATTAGGTCCTTATCCTTGTAAACCAAAGGGTTTACAATAGTAAGGACTCGTATGCAATTGATAAATAGTTAGTGGGAAATTGAAATTGAATAATGCAATTTACAAATAGTAAGTTCAAAATTGCAATTGACAAACAGTAAAGGACATTCGGAAGGTAAATTGGGTCATTATACTTATAAACACAAACGTTTACAATATTAAAGTCTCGTATTACTCTATGTTAAACATGTGTGTTCCATAAGAGTATAAAACCCATCCTTAATATTGTAATATCGTAATTTACAAAGATAAATACATATAGTGCAATATTAAGGTAACTTGAGGCATTATGAAAGTAAATTGGGTCCTTATACTTGTATAAGAATAGGGTAAGAGTGGACCTTCGTGGAATAAATTTGGTCTTTGTCATTGTAAACAAGGGAGTTTACAACATATAGGACTTCCGTTATATTGTTATGGACAGAGGGGTTCCATAAAGTTATAAAAGAGATCCTTAATCTTGTAATATCGTAATTTACAAAACTCGTAATGACCCCTAATACAATGTTAAGGTAAGAATGAACCTTGGAGTAGTAAATTGAGTCATTATTCTTGTAAACAAGGTGATGGTTACAACATTAAGGATTCGTATTATATTAAAATGGACATAGTCGTTCCATTACATTGTAAAAGCCATCCTTAATCTCGTAATACCATAATTTACAACAACAAGGAACCCTTGTATAAGAATAGGGTAAGAGTGGACCTTTGTGGAATAAACTTGGTCGTTATTCTTGTAAACACAAGGGTTACAATATTAAGGACCTCTTTTACAATGTTTTGGACCTCCATGTTCCATAAACTTGTAATATCATAAATTACAATAGAAAGGATCTCTATTACATGGTTCAAGTAATTATGGACCTTAGAGATGTAAAATTGGTACTTATTCTTGTAAATGCAATGGTTTATAACATTAAGGAATCGTATTACAATGCTTTGGACGTAAGCTCTCCATAAACTCGTAACGCAGATCCTTAATCTTGTACATTACAAGATTTGGGTTCTCATTTATAATTTTTTGCACCATGATTACAATTTTGAGGTTCTTCCTTATCCATAGCGTTGTAATATCTTGATTTACAATTGAAAGGATCCCTCTTACAATGATAAGGTAAAGGTAGACTTTAGCATTGTAAATGTGGTCCTTATTCTTATAAACACAAGGATTTACAGTATTACGGACTGCTTTTACAATATTTTGGACCTCCATGTTCCATAAAGTTATAAAGTGTATCCATAAATTTGTAATCTCATAAATTACAATAAAAGGATCTCTATTACATGGTTAAGGTAATGGTGGACCTTGAAGATGTAAAATTGGTACTTATTCTTGTAAATGCAATGGTTTATAACATTAAAGACTCATATTACAGTGCTTTGGACATAAGCTCTCCATAAACTCGTAACGCATATCCTTAATCTCGTACAGTACAAGATTTGGGTTCTCATTTATGATTTTTTGCACCATGATTACAAGTTTGAGGTTCTTCCTTATCCATAGCGTTGTAATATCCTGATTTAAATTTACAATTGAAAGGATCCCTCTTACAATGATAAGGTAAGGGTAGACTTTAATGTTGTCAATGTGGTCCTTATTCTTATAAACACAAGGGTTT